TCCCAGCGGAGAAATTGAGCTTTAACGGAAAACCAGTGTCGAAGTGTCGAAGTGTGTCGCCTCAGGCAAATCTTTGGGATTGTTTTGGTTGCTTGATGAATTTGAAGAAGGGGCTAAGCCAGGCGTTGGATGAACGGAGGCACTTCATGCCCAGACTTGGCGACATGGCCGGTATGCCTGTATGTCAACATGGAGAGAATAAAGGAGGTGGGAGTGAATAGACCATAAATTTTACATTTTATCAGGGTGTTTCTATGTGTTATGTGTTTCTCATTGTTTATTCAAGAAGAACCTGGAATCCAAAGACCAATCAGTTAAGTCGGTCTACGACCTTTGTCAGGTGCTTGAAAACGGAGAGGGCCCCCAAATCAGAGAGCGCTTCGAAACGACCGCTTTGGCCAGGGCGGGCGCTCCAGGCTGGTGGGGAGCGAGGGAGGTGCGGGGAGGTGCAGGAAGATGGATTTGTTCAATTGGAACAAGTAACGACAAAGTAAATAGCAAGTGACATGAAGCTTGAACAGTCTGCCTTTCTCTAGAATTGTAGGAACATTGTAGGAACATTTAAGTTTCTTTTTGCAATTAATTGCATCGATTGGCATTGGTTTTATTTGGGCTGGGAAGACTTCTTTGAATCTGTCACAAGGAAGTCCGGAACGAATACTGGCAGAGTAGAAGTCAACTCAAACCTAATTGTCCGGAATACTATGGAATACTTGTACGGCCCGACGGCCTGTCTTTAAAGATCCCCCTTTGCTGGCGCCATAGTGAAGTCCTATTGGTTGAAGTCACGATTTGAGAAGAACAAACGTCGGAAAGACACAACAAAAGAGACCAAGTCACCTACAGACATAGGAATTGCTTGAGACCATCCTTTTGTGCCTGCGTGGTCCGTGTCGGGGTTGAAGGGGACAGGTTTTCATAAGGCTCAGTCTGTTGGTGGCCTGTTCCAAGATTTCAGAATTGTTGCTTTATCCTTGGGTCCCACCCCTTTGGAGAAGGTTGTGGGGAATGATCATACCAGACTACCTTTTCTAAAAAGATTAAGATACACCTTTGGCACCACTCAATTACTGAAATGTCACCTTGGCAAGGTAGGACGTTAATACTCCGGGGATTGGTCTGGCCGACTCTGTGGTTCGCCAACAAAAGGTCAGCTGGTTGGTGTTGATAAAGAAGATGGTTGACCTGAACTATAGTCGAAAAACACCTAGTGGTGGTACAGGATTTCTTGCTAGCAATTTGACTTCCAGGAAGTTCTTAGGACATCTAACAAGTTATTTCAACAAAGCTGCGCAAGACTCCCCTTCACTCGCCAGAGTGGTGGATGATACGTGTGATTCTCGAGTCTATATACTGCCTTTTCCACCGCAGGCTGCGTTGGAACACAAAATAGGCACAATACCTTGAGAAGGATGAGAAGGCTGATTTTCAGGTTCTGGCAGAAACGTTTGCCTGTAGGGTGGTTGTACCTTACCTACTGGTGACCTGTGGCACTCTGCCGTTGGGTGATTGCAAGCTGGCCGATCCAGGCGCCTTGGACCATGTGCGACGAGGCGTTGAATTGGAAGCTTGGCATAGTGGCATCGCGTGGCATCGCCCTTTCAAGCGTTTCTTAATATATATTATATGGAGGGGACCCAAAGCCACGACTCTTGCTCACCAGCATCAATCCCAAAGTGATGTTTTCTTCCATGTTCTTGGTACTTAGTAGCCATGGCTTGGAAACAAAGCCCGAGCTCGCCCTGGTGGCTCGCGTCGAGGTGAACAAATCCTCCGCCTCTGTGCCGTCCCTCAGCTCACCCCCACCGACATCGGTGGAGATGCTGCAGAGCCAAAGCGAACCCAGTGTGGCCGCACAGGCCAGTGACCGTCATTTAGGGTGGAGGCCATGGCCATCGCTAGTAGGGTGGAGGCCATCGCTCTTAGGTTGGAGGCCATCGCTAGTAATTAGGGTGGAGGCCATCGT